CAGTCACAATCTCCTTGAGAGGAAGAACATCCCCTAGGTTCTACTCACTCAGTTTTCCTGAACATCTGTCCTCCTAGGGCCCCAATCACACTAAAAGCTTAGCAAGAAACACACTAACCCTAAAAAGGGAATAAAAGGCATCAACCACAAAGCAAATACCAAGACCTGAACAGCAGCTCTGATGTCTGCTATTCTCTAAAAAGAAAAGGTAAACCTAAGGTCACTTTGTAGTCTCCTAAAGGAAATGGCAATACCTTCTTGTCTTTCCTGTGGGCACTGGAAGGGCTGAATGTGACAGTGTCATATCTGATCCTTCACACCAGTCACATCACCTTGACAATCCACACAATCGTCCTCCATGGTTTGACAGCCAAGTCTTGTCTTCCTGAATTCTTCATGGGTCTTCAAGGAAGAGTAAAGAACATGTTCAGAGCAGAGAGCATTTTGTAGGAAACAGAGGAGAGGAAGCACAGACTACACAATGCACACCACACTCACCAGGTCCCATGGAGAAGCCGTGTTTCCCTTGTCTGTACTCTTCATTGTGCAGCTCAATCATTTTCAAGTTCTCCTCCCATACTGCTCTCCTTTTTCCTTCTTCATTCTAGAAATAAGTACAAGTGATGGTCTCTCTTGCTTTTAAAACCCACCCCAAATCCCACTGCACATCCAAAGTGTGATTAAGTGTTGGGGCATCGGACGCCATTCCCAAGCAAAGGATGGCGAGGAAGAGAAAAGGATTCCTGTTTGAAAAACGAGAAGAGAAAAAGAAAGAAATGAGAATCTCATTTAGACCCATGCTTCTGAAACAGCATTTTTTTTATACCTGAGAAATTAAAGCCATGATGGAGGAATAGCAATATTCAAACTGGTCTTGTAAGTATTGACCCAGGCACTGTGGAAAAGTCTAGGTGTCCTGTGGCTGCAGGACAGTGCAGGGGCAGCTTCTCTAAGGGCAGATCATCTCCCCCCTCAGAGGGAGAGAGGACGCTGTTACCATTTAGAATTCAATCACATGACTGCCATAAAGTCATCACCTGGCACCCAATACAGGGCGGGGTGCATAGCAGGTTTCTTTTGATGAAGTGAGACCGTTATGACAGCTTCCTCTGTAGTAGGGAGTAGTTTGCGACTTTCCACAATTCCAGCTGCCACAGGGTCTAGCCACACATGAGATATTGCACTAGACATGGTTTTTTGTTTCTTTGTTTTCAAGCAGCACTGCAGCTTGAATTTAGGCTTCCTGCCAGTGAGGCACACACTCCAGTGCTTGAGCCAGGCCTCCACCCTATTTTCTTCTGGTTCTTGTGAGGTATGGCCTGTCTTCATGCCCAAGGTGACTTAAACCACATTCATCCCATCAGACACTTCCCACCTTTGCTGGGATGATAGGAATGTGCCAGCGTACCCAGCTCTTTGGGCTCAGATGGCATCTTCCATCCTCCCAATGTAAGCCTCCTATGAAGCCAGGGTGACAGGTATGGGTCACCATGCCCAGCTATCGTTTGAGGTAGGGTCTCAAGGACGTTTCACCCAGGATGGCCTCAACCAGTTATCGTCCCATTCAGCTTTCCACACAGCTGGGATGACAGCAGTGAGCCACTTTTTTCAGAAAGACGAGTACTTTTTACCACCTCCCGTTGATTCAGCCAACAATGTGAAAACAATGTCTTTTAACAAGAAACTGAGACAATTACTCAACTCTGATTGGTAGCAAATGCAGCTCTAAAAAACCAGTAAAACAGTCCTGTTAGAACTTTACACTCCATAGCTGCCTGCCCCTCCTTCACCCTTAGCAAAGCTCTCCCTATTTTTCTTGGCTGGGAGCAGTAAATTGGAAACCTGAGGCCACCACTGTTGGACGAGTTCCAAGCACTGAACCTGCATGGCTGCACAGGGTCACCTGGCCAGGGGAGGTCCCTCTGTCCTTGCTGTGTGGATGGACGGGCTGAGCACGGTCACTGTGAATCTTGGGACCAAACATTCTCAGATGGGACACTTGCCTTTATGAACTAAGGACACTTTCATTCCCACTTCCTCTTCCTTTGGTCTATCAGTTATTTTCCAGAAGCAGAAATAAAATACTTCTTAATAAATTAACTCATGAAATAAAGGACAGTTTATTTCAAAATTGAAATGACACAGTACAGAGAGAGACACGCCTCTCATCTCATCATACAAGTAAATCGTATGTCAAAAGACACAGGACTTTTGAGATTTGACCAGAGGGCACTTGTTCAGATCTTCAGTGACCCCTAGAGGGCACTGTGTCCTTGACACTTGCTCCAGTGACCTCTGCTCCCCTTTCAGAGCCCATGACCACTGCACCTGGACTCCCGCCATGCTGGATGTGCTGGCTGCCCCAGGGGAATGGCAGGTCCAAAGGGAGTGAACAGGGTTATCTGGTTCACTTTAGTGTCCCCAGTCTCAGCAAGCACCACCTCATGAAGGTGACCTATGGAGAGTTGCTGAATGCATATATGCAAAAGAATAGTAGCCAAATAAATACGTGATTTGTGAAACTTTAAACATGTACTACTGGAGAACAGAGTTCATGTTTTGGATAGTACTGTTCATTATTAATTTATGTTCAAATAGAGATATCCTGAATAATTGTGAAAGTTGCTGTTTAAAGTTTATCCACTTGGAATATATGCGGACAGTATATAGAGTTCCCAGATTCATGTGGTAGGAGGCAAAGCCAGAGAGACCCCTGAGGGTGCTCTGGTAACTAGTGGAGAAGACCCATCAACACAAGCATCCACAACCACCCAGCCCAGCAAACATCCAGATGTCTCCAGCAGGAAGAGAACTCCAAATGACCACACAGTAGAGTCCTGCTAGAAAGTGAAAATGACTTTTTTACAAGCCACTGTGTTTCCAGTAAGACATATCAGGAAATCGGTCTCTTCACTGTACAACTCCCGGGGTGCATTGTGTCCTAACAACCCACCCCTTCCTAGTCTCACATCTCAACACCTCGACCCAATTCTCCCACAGGATCTCTAACCACAGTCTCCTGTCTCAGGGTGCTGACCTCCGGTGTCTGCTAGGACACTCGGCTCTTCTTATCCCAGTGACTGTTTGCTCTGACAAGTGTCTACGTCCCTTTTCCTGGAAGTCCTCCCTGACTCGCATTCTCACACCAGCACCTTCTCAATGAGGAGGGGGCTGTCTCTCCCACAGTGGGGATGACAGACACAAAGTGGGCACTACACTCATTGTGGCTGGATCAAATCTAGGTCCCACCCTGGGGAGGGCAATTAGCAGGGGAATCTCACATCTTCTCCCACTACACTCCATTCTTATGTACAAAACCCAAGGAACTTCACTCCTGATGGTACATTTGTCATTTTGTTAAAATGTACGCATTTGTGACCTAGTAGGGAAGGACAGATGAGATTTTGGAATGGCAGGAGGTCCACCAGATGCACTTGGATGGACTCTTCTGTAGGCTCTGTGGGCTGCAACCCCAGTTTCCTCACTCCCTCCTCTGGGAAGATGGAGTCTGTCCACTAACCATCTCAACCCCTTCCTTATTCCTTCTAGTGTGGGAACACGAGGCTTTGATGACACACACTCGATAGAAACACGTGCTCTGTACCAATACAATATGGAGAGTTCAGTTCAATATACAGCTTCAGACCCTCACTTCTGATCCTTCCATCTGTCTTCCACCTTCCAAGGCCACGAAACCGTGTGTGAAGAACCAGGAGTTTATGTCTTATCTCGTGTGGTCATCAGCCTTGTCAACTCAGTAGTGTCCTGTCCTTCCTTGAGCACAACACGGCCAGCAGGCCTCTACCCACACTTGGTGAAGATGCCCCAGAAACCAGATTCAACTGTTTGTCCCATAAGTGGACGGGACTGCAACCATCTTGCGTGTAATCAACCTGATCTCCCAGGCTCTCTTACTGTAGTAAAATCACATATCCTCCCATTTGCTTTTCGAAAAAGAGATTATTTTCTTTATTCAAACAATTTTCCTTTGTCCTTATAGATCTTTGGTCAAGTTTTCCTCCCATCTAGGATAGGGTTCGACCAGCCCCTGGACATCTGAGCTATGTTTGACTGGAAGAGCCAGAAATACCCATTCTTCTTGCTGGTGCACTATTGACACATTCAGTTCTGTCTTCAGAGAAGAAGGAAAGTTCACATCAGTGCTTTAAACCCAGAAAGCTATGGAAACAGCCAAGATGCCCCACAACTGATGACTGGATTAAGACAACGTGGTGTTTATATACAATGGAAGTTTATTCAGTCATCAAGAAGAATGTAATTTTGTCGTTTGCAGGTAAATGGATGGAACTGGAGAACATCATCTTAAGTGAAGTTAGCCAGGCTCAGAAGGCCAAAAGTCACCATGTTTTCTCTCATATGTGGAATATAAACCTAATACAAATGCAGCAATATTATGAAAAACAGGTCACACTAAGAGAGGTCATCGCATATGAGAGAGGGAGGGTAAAAGAAGGAAGTTAAGTAGGTGAAAACAGTCAATTACTTTCTATATAAGAATGAATGTAGAATTTTTTAAACCTTTTGAAAGCACAGGTTTAGAAGGGGACTAAGTAGAAAGAAGAAAAACGGAGGGGATGAACTAATTCAGGTTATAACCCACATATACATGGAAATGTCACAAGGAAACTCCCTGTGTAGTTATGTTATACAAACAAAAATGTCTTTTTTCAAAAACTGAGAACAGGAAGGTAACACAGGTCCTCTTTGGAGTTTGGTATCAGTGGGAAGGGGGGAGGATATAAGGAAAGAGTGTGGGAGGGTGAATGTGGTGGAATATTACGCACTCATGAGTGGAAAGGGAAAAATGAGACCTGGTGAAACTATTCCAGGAATGAGGGGAGGGGAGGATAAAGGAGAATGAGGGAGGGAGTGAATTCAACTATGATATATTGTAAGAACTTTGATAAATGTCACAATGTATTCCCAGTACAACAATAATTAATAAAAAAAAACCAGAAAGATATCTCACCTTTACAAAATTTAAATTTTATTAATCAGGTAAGTCAATAAATTATTAAGGGATTCAATAATAGATTGTTTGATCAAGTTTTCTTCTAATCTAGGATAGGGTTCAAACAGCCCCTGGACACCTGAGGTAAGGTCTGCATATGTATGAATGGTGGAGAAAGAAGGCACCCCCTCTTCCTCCTGGTGCCCCACTGGCACATTCAGTTCTGTCTCAGAGAGGAATGGCAGTGCATTACATCAGTGCTTTAAAACCAGAACAAATTTTCACCTCTACAAACTTTCAATTTTATTAACCAAATATAGTCAACAATTTATTTAGGTGATTCAGTAATATAATCTGTTTATGGCAACTTTTACAGCAGTGGTACCATGTCACAAGTAGAAAATGTCAGAGAATTCACATCACAGGTTGGATCATCAATGACTCAAGTGTTAGCTACCACACCGTGTGTGCTTGTCAATTTGATGACAATGTCCTTCTTCTAAACATGATGTCCTCAATCCATGCCTTCCTGTCACCGTCAGGAGCTCACACAGTGGGGCAGCTGCCCAGGTGCCAATCCCAGTGGTTATCCCGATCTCTGGTCATCTTTAGGGAGCCAGGCTCACCCCATTCTTTACCCCAGCTGAAGGCAGAGCAAATTCTCCATTTAGTAGAACGAATAAAGCACACTGGGTTTCATTAGAGTCAACACCTGATTTCAACACTGTGACAGAGGCCACACGCACTTAGCAGAAAGAATTCAGGGAGGTAGACGTTCTTTTCATCCTTTATAAATGGTTGTGTCTCAATCTGCCCGTAACTTCTACCCTGCCTCCAAGACGAAGACCGTACAAAGGATTGCATGTCAGAGACAGAGACAGAGCTAGGCTAGGACTGTTCCAGCCAAGGTTCTGCTGTGTTTTGTCTTCCACTCCTCCCACTGTGCATCCAAAGTGTGAGTAAGTGTTGGAGAAGCTGACGCCACCCCCAAGCAAAGGATGGCAAGGAAGAGAAAAAAAATGCATGGTTCACAACCTAGAAAGGGAAAAGAAATGAGGGCGTGATCAGCCCAATGCTACAATTACAGCCTTCTGGTTCCTACTTAAGAAGAGGACACCATGGAGGAATAACATATTTAAAGTGTTCTTGAAAGTGTTTACACAGAGACTATTTGAAGGCTGAGTTGTGGTTTAGGTTAAAACAGCCACGTGTAGGTATTTGGTTGACAAACCAAAATCAAAGACATCTGGCCAGATCTGTAGGACTTGAAATCGAGCACGCAGTGATAAGTTAGGATATGAGAGTGGAATGAATGCATTTTGTAGTTGGTGTTTTTAGGTCAGTTAAACTCAATGAAATGAAGGTAGACTTGGTGGCAGAGATTGCAAGGATCATGGTTTGAGGTCAGCCCAGGCAAAAAAAAAACTAGCAGGACTCCATCTCAACCAAGGGCTGGATGCAGTGACACATGCCTGTCTCCTCAGTTACACACGGAGACAAAAATAGGAGGCTAGCAGTCCAGGCCAGTCCAGGCATAGAGTGAGACCCTATGTCAAAACTCCCCAGTGCAAAAAGGCCAAAGGACATGGCTAAGGGTTAGAGTGCCTGCCTAGCAAGTGCAAGGCCCTAAGTTCAAACTCCCACACCATCAAAAAATTAACATCATTATTATTGGTAGGGCTTAAGTTTGCCATTTAAATTTTATTTTCTATCTCCATTTGTTCTGTTTTTTGTTACTGACTTCTTGTGAGTTACCTCAACTTTTCCCCTGAATTTTGTTTTAATTACCTGGAGTGTTTTTAGTGTGCCTAACTGTGTATCTTTTCCGGTGGGTGCTCTAGGTGCTACATTAGGTAGCTTATCACAGTCCATGCTGTTTTCATTTTACCAGCTTGAATAATTATACAAAAAACCTTGCCTCTGTTACATCTTCTTTCTTTTCTTGTTTAAAATGTAATGTTCTTCAGCACTTCCTCTACATACTTTTAAAACCACCTCAGACAGTGTCACAATTTTTGCTTCAATCATCAGAAAGCTTACAAAATTTACATGAAGTAGGACTGTCTTCCATGTCTACCTGTATGTTTTCTTACCGTGTTCTTTTCTTCCTGATTGTGTCAGGGAGCCCCAGGACCACTGCCGGGTTTGAAGATTCACTAGAATGGCTCCCAGCCTCATCACACAGATGTCTATGATTCTATAATGATAGGATGCAAAGCAGGGAAATGGGACATGAGACAAAGTCTGGAGGAAATCCTTTCCCAGGAAACTCACAGGTGACCCACTGCACTCCTTCAGTGATGATTTTCTGTGCTGTGTCCCAGAGCAGCTCATCAGACTCAGTGCCCAGTCGTTAGAAGGGCCAGCCACACAGGCACCCTGTGCCTAGCACAGACCAAGACTCCACAGATGAGCAGCAAAGCAGGAATGGAGCACAGACCATGGTGTACACAGTCCAGGCACCATGTGTCTCGGTCTGGGCTCCCTTCCCCTCTTTCCCACCCTGGCTGGCCTCACACTCAGTACACAGCTCAGGCCGCATATCACCTCAGACTCCTGACCCTTCTGCTTCAGGCTCCAGAGTGCTGGGATTTCAGGATTCCAGGCACGTCCCACGCTGCCTGCCTTCACAATAGGCTGTCCTGATAAGTTCTGGACATGGTGGGGACCCTCTCAAAAGACGATATCCTCAATCTGGCCAGGGGATAATCTTGCAAGCAGGACAGTGATTGCCAGTCCTGCTGTGCTTACTCTTCACTGCACGCAGATACCTCAAAGTTCCCTCTTTTATTTTTCTGTTTGTTGGAGATGAATCCTTTCCATTTCCCTACATGAGAGCGTCCTGACTTCCCTCTTCATTGCTCAAGGATAGGTTCACTTGGCGTAGAGTCCTGATTGACGATCCCGTTCCCTCAACCCTTGGACACCGTCTCACTTCTAGCTTCCAATCTTCTGGAATCCTAACTGGTGAGTAACATGCTTTTTTCCTCTGGCTACTTTCAAGGTGGCTTTTTTTCTACTTCAGCATTCAGAAGTTTAATTATAATATGGTCTGGAATTGCTTTTATTATATGTATGAGATTTGCTAAGCTTTTTAAATTTGTAGGCTTATATCTCTGACCAAATTTGGGATGTTTTCAGTCATTCTTTTTCTGTTTTTTTTTTTTTTTTCGCTTTTCATGGTACTAGGGTTTGAACTCAGGGCTTCACGCTTGCTAGACAGGTGCTCTTACCATTGAGCAACTCCACCAGCCCTCAATCATTCTTTCAAGTACTTTTTATTATTGCCCTCACCTCCCAAACTCCAGTGACATAAGAAAGAGATCATTTGTCGTACTACTATAATTTGTAAGGTTCTGTTTGTTTCTTCTAGCATATTCTGTCTGTTTACAGGTTGAATTAGTTCTGTGGTTCTATCTTCTAGTTCACTTGAATCTTTATCTGACTGTCAGAAAAACAAAGTGTCTTGGTTTTCCTCTACGCCCATTACATAACAATCAATACAGAAAATTTTTGAAACCAGATGTGGGTTACATATGTGCGCGCGCACACACACATGCACACAGAAGCAATCAATTCTGCAGCAGACACCAGTTGTGTGTCCTCTAATCCAATTCAGTGCAGACACTGTCTACCTACAGATAGTGCATATTCCACAGATTGAGGGCTCAGTCCCCAATTCTGCCCCCCAGACACTTTCTCTTTTGGGGTGGTTCTAGGATTTGAACTCAGGGCCTTGTGCTTACTAGGCAAACACTACCATTTGAGCCACACCTCCAGCCCTTTGTGCTTTAGTTTACTTTTCAGAAATGGGTTTGTACTTTTTTGCCTGGAGCCAAGCCTGAACCTCGATCTTCCTACCTCCACCTCCTACAAAGCTGGGATTACAGGGTGCTCCACCTTATTTTTGATTGAATGGTCTTGGCACCCTTGTTAAAAGTGAACTGCCAATGTATTTGAGAGTTTTCTTCTGGGACTCTCAATTCTAGACTACTGATCCAAAGTAGAAACAGTTCTAGAAGACTCCAGAGATGTATTTGGGGGGAGACTTGAAGCAGGGTGGAGGCTGCACCAATTCACAAACCAAAGTTTGAAATGTGACTTGGAATTTAGGATTGTGTCGTCACCAACCTCTACAACAAGTCAATTTTATGAAGAGATTCCTTTTTAAGAAGGGAGAAGTAGAGGGGAGATTTTTTTCCTTAATTACAAAAGTATCATAAATCATTCCTCACACAACATGCACAGCTTAGACTGGGCCCTGGCTTACACAGATGAGTAAGAAGAGGGAAGTACAAAGGACCATTCAATATGAACCAGGTGTAAGACGATGCTGGAAAATTATTGTTAATATCATTAGGTGTGGTCATGACATTCTGGACATAGAGGAAATCAACAATCACTATTAAGAAATGAAGCAAAGAGGGGGAGGAGGAAGAAGTGGGGGAGGAGGGGGAGGGGGAAGAGGGAGGGGGAGAGGGAAGGGGGACACCCATAATCCCAGTTCTCAGGAGACTGAGGCAGGAGGATGGCAAGTGCAAGATCAGCCTGAGTTACAGTGAGACCGTGCCTCAAAAAAAAAAAAAAAAAAGAAATGGTGTTCTAAGGGGTGAACTTACATGCTTGTCATTTTTTGTTTAATGTGAAGCCTTTGCCACTTCTATTCAACACTGTACTTAGGTAAGAAGAAATGGAGACAGAGGTACACAGACTAGAAAGGAGAGAAAAATAAAACTGACTTTGCCTGCAGCTGGTATGGCTGTCTGTAGAAAATCAAAACACACCATAACCAACAAAAACCCTGAAGAAAGGTGTTACAATAAGCTTGCAGTGGGAAAGGTTAATATTCAAAAATTGATTGCTCTCCTATATACCAACAATGAACCATTGGAAGTTGAACTAGAAAACACTACAGCATTTATATAACACCTAAACAAAGTAATACTGGGTGTAACTCTAACCTCTATGAAGCAAAGCACAAAATCCCTGAAAGAAATCAAAGATGTAAAACAATGAAGATGTATTCCGTACAATGGGGAAACTCAGCACAGTGAAGATATCAGTGCTCTCCAAGCTCAGCTATAGATTCAAAGACATCCCATCAGAATCTCAGTAAATTACTTTGCATATATCCAAAAACGTTCTAAAATTCACATGGAAAGGCAAAGACACAGAGGAGCCAACACAATACGAAGAACCAAGTTAGACACTACCAGAACTCACAACTTACTTTGAAGCAAGGGTAATTAAGACAGAGTGGAAAATGAAGGGCAGGAGGGGAAATTAAATCTTTCCAGGGGTGAGTACCAGTGGAGAGGGGTAGGACACAAGGAAAGGGGGAACGAAGGGGAACATGGGGGATGTGTTTTGTATCCATAAAAGAAAATAGAAGAATGAAACCTGTTGAAATTGTCCTAAGAAGGAGGGGAGAGGAGAGGGAGAATGGTGGCTGGGAGTAAATCTAAGCTACATTGTAAGCACATATGTAAAATATCACAGTGTAACCCCTGTACAACTATTATTATATGCTAATAAAATCACAAAAAAGACAGTGTGGTTCTGGGTTCTGGTATTATAAAAAGAAGAGGAGGGACACAAGGAATACCTCAATAGAGAGAGCCTAGAAATATATCCTCACAAATTGAGTCAATTCTGGCAAAGGCAATTCAATGGAGAAAGAAGTCCTTCCAGCAAATGGTACTGGACAACTGAATATCCACGTGCAACAACAACAACAAAAAGGATCAGAATACAGATCTTACAGCTTTAAAAAAAAAAAACACTCAAAATGAATCGCAGACCTACTTGTAAGACACAAAACTGTAAAACCCTGGAAGATAAGATAAAACCGTAGGCGACCTTGGGTTTTACAATGTCTTTTTAGACAGGGTACCAAAAGAAAATCCATGAAAAAAGACCTTGAAAAGTTTCATTCCTTTAAAATTACAAATTTTGACACTGCCAAAAATACTGGTAAGATAATGAAAAGATAAGGCCAGCCTGAAGAAAAGACATGAAGAAAAAATAACAGAATGGAAGAAGAGAAGCAGAAAAACGAATAACCACAGTTAAGAGAATTTACAACTTCTCCTTCAGTTATTGAAAAAACAAACTGACAATGAACTGATAAGGAAATGAACATTTACAGAACATTAAACTCAACAGGAACACAAGACATATTCTTTATAACCGCACCAAGAATAATCACCGGAGTGGACTGAATGCTGAGGCACATAAAACAAGGCTCCGGTCTCTAAGGACTAAGCTTTAAAAAGAGTATTGTGTTCTTCACTCCAGACAAACTGAGACAGAAACCAGTAACATTAAGATGCTTAGAGAGATGTCATGATTAGAAATTAAACAGTATTTGTCTAATGCAGATATGATTACTGAATCCAGCAGTTGTTTGTTGAGACAAAGCTTTGCTGCCCCCAGGTTATCTTAGTGAGTTGAGCCAGAGTGTGTGTTGACACACACACACACACACACAGACAGACAAACACTCACTCCAGTTTGCATATCCCTCTCTGTGTCTAATTAGTTTCTCCCTTTCCATTCTTATAACTTTCTTCTGAACACGGAGAAGCCAGGTTCCCCATCAGCCTTAATATGAATCCTTTTGCATGTAATTGATCCCTCCCCGCCCCCTAGTCCTCTCCAACATGACGAGCCACCTTCATGGTGCTCGGTCACTCACTGGTCCCCCACTCCCTGTCTTGTTATTTTCCTTCTGCTGTCTGCACTCTGACACCCGCTCTAGCAATGCATGAGAACATTCTGTTCCAGTTGTTTTGAGATGTCTTCTGGCCTAGGAATATGACATATCTTGTTGTATGTTCTGTGTACTTTTAAAAGAAGTACTGCTGTTGCTGGGTGTAAGGTTGTATGAGTGAGAATTTGACCTCGGTAGCTGAGGGTGTTGTCCAGTTCTGTGTCTTGCATAATTTCCAGTAAATGAGAGATGAGGGCTGAAGCGTCCAACTGTAATCGTGGACTGCTCCACCTGTCCTTTGTCCTGTAAGTTATCCCGCAACAACTTTATAGGCACAGAATTCATTTAACACTGTTATTAGGGTTCTCCAGAGAAAAGGCAAGTGGAATACTACAGGAATGCGCTCTCCCAGTTCTGGAGCCTGAGAATCTGAAACGCAATGCTCCTGGCTGGCTGGAGACTAAGTGATCCTGATCTCTACTTCCTGAGTAGCTGGGATTACAGACGTGACCTGCCATGCCCAGCCAGAATTTTCCTTTTATCAGTCCAGCCCTACAAGATATTCAACCTGGCTGGTACTGCTGGCACTACTGTAACTGAGTATTCAAAGGTTATTCTGCCATTCTGTCAAGCCAGGTGCCTCAGGGTGTTGTGGAACGGGGTAAGAACAGCACATTCCACATACATGGGACCCACTGCCAGGCTTCGTTTACTGTCAAGTGAGTTAGTTCCTTGATCAAAGGAATACTATGAAAAAGAGAAAAAACATTCTGTAAGTCCATGGATGTCCATGGATTTTAGGAAGAATCACTGCATGCAAGGAAGGCAGGCAAATACATACTCAAAATAATTGTCTATTTAGTTATGGATAAAATGCTGCCCCTTCTATGACAGAAGCAGCTTAACATAATCAACCTGGTGCTCACCCTGAGGAATGGTGCCATACTGGGGGCTCCAAATGACCTTTGTTATTTGCAGACTGGACAGCAGCAGGCCTGACCAAGTCAGTCTTGCTAAGTGGATGTCTGTGATGCTATGCCCATTCGTCACCTCCATCCCTCTCGCCATGGGCATTCTATTCACAAACCCATGGGGCAATGACAGGTGTGGCAATGACTGGTATTCACAGAACAGGTCATTCTATCACTTGATTATTAAAATTCTCCTCTTCTGAAGTTGCCCGTTAGTGAGCATTCCTGGGACACAGGCATTTGCACCTTTTTGCCTGTTCTACCAGGTTTTGGTCCTCAGTGTGAATTACCCCAGCATACGACAGAGGCATAAGACCAGTACTGACAGCATGTAAACGTTGCATGGCTAAAACTGATGTGACATGAAGTCACTGACCCTACTCAATATCCTGTGCTCGAATGCTCTCTTTTAAACAATTTTATAACAATTAAAAGAGCGGGGGGGGTGTGACTTAGGCATAAAATCCTTGCACAAAGCCCTGGGTTCAATCCCCAATTACTGCAAAAAAAAAGAAAAAAAAAATCTGTATAGCGTGACTTCAAAGATGAGCAAAGTTAGGAAACAGTAGGAGGCCCATCTCTGTACACAGGTAAACTTATACTGGGAAAATGATAGCTAAGCTAGAATTAGTTACTGAGGTAATTATTTGGGAACTTGAATCCATTGATGATCTGTAGCTTCCAAAAAGCTTGGCCACTGAATATTTCAGTCAATTACAGTCACTAGTGTGATAAATAACTACTTATCTTCCAACCTCAATCCCACAGCAATCAGCTTTACCTGCATTCCTGATGAAATGTGCAGAAGCCAGGGTGGTCAATAAACACTTCATTTTCTCAGTACCCAGGGTTCTGTGGTCAAACTGCTGACTGATGCTTCTGATGAAGGAAATGCAGACAGAGGACAAAGCCACTGTTTCAACACCCACCATTAGAAGCACCCTCCAGGAGGATTTAAAAAATAGCATATTGATTTTTGAGGGGGATGTCTTTTCTTTTCTCTTTTGTCCCTTTTATCAATGTTGGGAGCCAGATACCCAAAGCTTAGGACATTCAAATGTCACTATGCATACAGGAACACTTACAAACTCACCTGCTCTATCCAGGAAAAAAAAGGATGGCATAGAAAAGGTCTCAGGAGAAATACCTAACACAAAAAGGGGCTGGTGGAGGTGACTCAGGTGAAGGCCCCAAGTTCAAACCCCAGTACTCTCCCCAGAAAACAGTAATGTTTAAGAAGTGAAACTTCTAGAAGATAGGGGTATAACTCAGTGATACAGCACTTGCCTCTCAGGAAGTGAAAGTTCTGAGTCACAAATTGTTTACGTTACAATATCTGTTAGTTTGCAAGCAGTTTCTCAAATGGCTGTGCCAATTCAAATTACCACACCCTTCACAATTTAATTCTAACTCATGCTACCCAACATACTATTCAACTTCTTTAAACTTTCACCTGTGATAAAAATTTCTACCTATGTTCCATCAATTTTCACTTTCCTAATTATTTCACCATTAGTGTAGTGGGTAATCTTTTTATGTTTCCTTCTATCTGTAAGTTTGCCTTTTGAAGTTGCATGTCAGTTGAGTCCTCAAGGGGTGTGAGCTGATAGAGTTAGGAGTGAAATGGGTTATTAAGGAATAACACCCATCAAAGCAA